TCAATTCCAGCTGATCAAGTGGCCTCCTCAAAGACATCAGTTCAGTGCCAAGACTCAGGAGCACCTCAGTAGAACTGAAGTGTGGTTCAGTCGTAACCCAGTAGACCCGTGTTTTGGTTCAATTGATAGTTCAGACTATGAACAATGAATAAGACTTACCCGTCCCATTCGAATGATTTGCATCCAAAATCAAATTCAGTCATCCATCCTTTTACTCAAGATAAGTAGAATTTATTTAATGATGCAACCATGCTAAACAGTTGTCTTGATTGGTTGAATATTTTTGAAGTAAGTTATTCTATCTTTATAATGCACAATGAGGACCCAGGAAGTGAAGTGTGTTAATTTAAATAATAATCCTTGCATTTGATATAGCGCTTTTCACGTCTTCTCAACGCCTCAAAGCGCTTCACAGAATAGACTGTAAAGTGAATTGACCGTATATTTATGGGCGAATATTGTGTTTATATGGATTTACATAGAATGTACAGCACGGAAACAGGCCATTCAGCCCAACTGTCTGTGACGGAATTTATACTCTACACAAGTCTCCACACATCCCTTACTCCCTCCTGTACCCTTCTATTCCCTTTTCCCTCAAGTATATCTAGCTTCTTCTTAATTGCATCGATATTACCTGCTTCAAGCACCACTTGGACATCCAGTTCCGCAATCTCACTATTCTCTGCATGAAGTAGTTCCTCCTAAATTCTCTTTTAGATCCCATAATCTCTACTTTATACATGTGTCCCCTGTTACAAACTCCCCAACCAATGGAAACAGCCTATTTATGTTAACCTTATCAGACCCGTTTATAATTTTGAACACCTCCATTAGGTCCTTCTTGAGCATATCTTCTCAAATGAAAAGGTCCTAACCTATCCAGTCTACCTTGATAGCAGTAACCAGCTAGTCCTTATGTCATCCTAGTAAACCTATGCTGTACTGTATTCTTTCCATCGCTGCTAAATCTTTTAAAACTGTTTGGGAGGGGCATAACAAAGTGGGGGAAGGGGGTTGCAATAAGGTATATTAGCAACAAAAAAACAAAGGGAGAGATAGAAGTATTTTTTTAACAGAGGGTGTTAGGATGTGGATTACCCTATGTAAAATAATGGTTGAGGTAGAATCCATATAGACTTATAAGAGGAAATTAAATAAAATAAATAAATGTCTGAAACGGAGAAATTGAGGGCCTGGAGTAAAGGCAGAATGAGATGTTGCTTCAGAGAGCCATCACAGACATAGTGGGGTGAATGGCCTCTTTCTGTGCTGTGCGGGTGTCAGCCTGGGTTCAGTTGGTAAAGTGCTTGCCTCTGAGTCAGAAGGTTTTGTGGGTTCCAACCCTGTGTTGGGATTTGATCTCACGGTCAAGGTTGACACTCCAGTACATCCAATCCATTGCTAAAATTCTAAGTTAAAACTATAAAATAAAAATATACACAGAAGACCATGAGGAAGAAGAGAAAATTGGGGTAAAAGAAGTACGCTATTAAATGTGAGGCTCTTTTCCCTCAAACACTCAAGTGTATTTCTTAATACCAGTTGAGGCTCCCCACAGAGTCCCCAGGTGTTAGGATGGCAAGCTTTGAATGGCAAGCTGTGTAGTTTAGCTGGTTAATCTCCAGTCGTATCCCAAAACAAATTCTGCAGAACTGGCTTCCAAATTAAGGCTTATTTATAATGTCCAACTTTCTGCACAATATTTGGGCATAAGGCAAATACCGTGAGAGTTTCCAGGCATCTATCGTCATCTTAAATTTGCATTATCTTGACTACTTCTGAATTTGCATTATTGCAGCACACGGACTAAAATGGCATAAGCAAAGTACAGCTCTAAGTATTCAAACACTGTATGTAAATACTATTAATAATAATATAATAATATAATATAATAATAATCCTTACATTTTGATATAGCGCTTTTCACGTCTTCTTGACATCTCAAAGCGCTTCACAGAATAGACTGTAAAGTGAATTGACTGTATATTTGTGGGCAAAACATGGCAGCCAATTGCGCACAGCAGTGTTCCACAAACAGTCATGGATTGAAAATGACCAATTTATTATTTTTTTTATTTTGGAGGGATTATTATTAGGCATGTGGAGTGAGGAAACTTGCCCAAGTTTTCGCCCTGCCTGGAATTACACCCAGGTATTTCGCTTGCAAGGCAAGTGCTCTAACCACTGAACTACAGAACTCCACACATTAAAGACCCTCAGGCTCCACAACCAGACATGCAGGACATGGGAGAGAAGTGAAAAGAGCTGCTCCTGCATCCCGATGGCTGTGGGATGGATTATGGCAACAACAACAACTTGTATGTATATAGCTCCCCTTACACAGAGCACGTAACAGTGGTAGAGCTCGATGCCAAGTCGGCAATGATGGAAGTGATCTGCCATTAGCCCCCATTTTAAGATCAGGTGGAATAGTTGGCCTTGGCTATTAAATAAATAAGAAACACAGAAACTGTTGGAATTTAAAGCACGTACCACAGGGCTGTTTATGTAGGTACTTTCACCAAACTGCATTTCTATCATGCCAAGTATTGTGAAACAGTATGTGTTCGCTGACAACCAATACAATAACATAATAGGTAGCCGGGCTGCTGCCTTGCGCAGTGTGCATTGAGGATTCTCTGATAAACTCTGTTGGTTTCTAGGTGTGGTAGAAACTGGAGCTCTATTTGTTGAAAGAATTGGGAGTTAACGAAGGTTGTCTTTGATTTCCATTTCCCTTCTCAAATGCGTATTTCAAACCTGTTGGATGTTTTGGAAACCCACATTATTTGGCCATCACTTTGAACCTGCTACTATTTGAAAGCCCTCATGCTATAAATGGAGTGCTTTTTACCAGTAGGAACCTCATCAAAAATAGTGGCTTTGGAGCGTAAACATGGCCAATAAATTCAGTTAAAACATACCCTTGAAGAAAAAACTGAAATTTGCAACTTATAATTCCTGCCTGTTCAGGTGGATATTAAAGGATATGGAAAGAGAAGGAATTTTCTTTCTCTCAGTGTCCTGCTCAGCAATGTTTCAGATTCAGTTTGATATCTTATCCAGGGAATGGTGCCTCTGACAATGGAGCCCTCCTCCCAGCGCAGCATTGGAGTGTTAGCTTAGAGTATGTTTAAAAAAGTATTTTGGTCACATTTTGTCCCACGGCAGTTTGTGGGACACTGCTGCGCACAATTGATCGCCTCATTTCGTCTGCAAATACACAGTCAATCCACGTTACAATACATTCTGTGAAGGGCTTTGAGATGTCTTAACAACGTGATAATGATTATAGTTATCATTACTGACACCAAATTCAAAGATGATGATGATTACGATTATTACTGCGACTACTTTAAATATGCTTGTGAAACAGTTATCTGCAGGTTACAAGTTGCCTCTGTGTCTGTGCTCTCACTCTACCCCTCTGTCTCGCTTACTCTCTATCTGTCTTTGTTCTGTTTTAGAGCCGACCTCTATGACTGTGCCTACGGTCACCTTCCCTCTCCTCTCTTCCCTTTACCGTACTTGACGAACGACCCTATCATAGGGTAAAGCACTCTGAGACGTTATCCTACGTGAAGGATACTATATAAATGTTGCCCCCTCAGGTTGGTGAAGGCAGTGTACAGCCAGCTATCATTACCTTATCAGGAAATCTGTAGCCAGCTACAAATGAAACGAACTCCAATGACACTGGGTTTGGATACAAATTCTTCTCTATCATATGAAAAAGAGGAATAAGAAAAGTCTCTGTCTCCTTTCCTTCCAGCAGATCAGTAATGATGTTGCACTGATAAAGTATCTAACCGGCTCAAGTCCAGTATCTTGAATCCCATTTAAGTTTGGAGAATTCTATGCCCACAAATGACAAGGGAGAATCATATAAGTCTCTGGAAAATGATATCTGCTAATTGGGGTCAATGTTAGTGGTGTTCAAGCCTTTGCAGATGGGTTTCGGAACCACCATTATTCAAAATATTGTGTGTATGTGTTGGGGGGATATTTGAAAACACACAGTCTCCTTTTCCTTGAATAAGGAATGAAATGTGTTTCGGAATGTTGCAATTTTGAGACCACTGTGAAAAATATTCAATGTGCCACTGAAATAATCTCAATATTGGAAGCAAGTGATTTTTTGATATACTGTACATAAAGAAAAAAGTATTTGTATTGTGTGTTAACCTGGCTCATTTGGTAGCACCCTCACCTCTGAGTCCAAAGGGCATAGGTTTCAAACTATGACGGGACTCTGAACTCGCACACTAGGCTGACACTCCAGTGCAGTGCTGGGGTTACTGTCCTTTGGGATGAAACAAACAACAAATATCTAATCTACTTGTTCAGTTGCATGTTAAAAATTACATGGCACTGTTCAAAAAGAGAAGGAAGTTTCTCCCGGTTTCCTAGCCAACAATCAATCCCCTAGATAAAATCATGAATTCCGTAGCTGTTTGTAGGACATTGCTGTGCAGAAATTGGCTGCTGCATTTACTTACAAAATACCCAGTCACTATAATTTACAGTAAATCCTATGAAGGACTTTGAAAGATTCTCCTAAATGTGAAAGGCGCTATACCAAATGCAACGATTTTCATTTCATTACTTCCAGAATTCATAGTTTCTCAAGCAGCTCCAACATTTCAGTGAATTCTTCTGGATTTAAAAACTTAAAAAAAGTTTTACAGCTTTGCTTTCATAAAAGTGGTTATTTAGCTGAGGCAGGAATGCTGTGGCACAGGAACACCTGCTGAAGGGGTGGGACCAAAGGACTCAATGTGATGTTTTAGCAAACAGCATATTGCGTGTCTGAGAGAATGTGAACAAGATATTGACCAAAACCTGTGCTTGGATCCAGGCCCCTCCCTGAGGGGTTTACCAAACACACTTATCAATTCAGATCTTTGACAAACCTGTCTGATAACTACAGAACTACATTCAGACAAAGGCATTTAAGCTGAGGTTCAGGAAGAGAACATTATTGCTCAGGAGTTCCTCACTGCACCTGCACATTTCTGGCGAACTGTTAGCTACACAAGTGTCGCGTGATCTACTCTTAGGTAAGGTACAAGCTTGAATTCAGCACAACTTGTATTTTGGGGGAATATTCATTCTGTGCTGTATCAAATATGTTTGAGGTTAGCAACCGTAAAGTGCTCTGAGGCACTGTCTGGCGTGAAGGGTGCTATATAAATGCTATATCAAATGCAAGAATTATTATTATTAAAAATATGATGTGCAAATAACAGATGCATCAATGCAGAGTAAATATCTGAAGCAATTTTAAAAGTAGTTACTATTGATTAGAGTTTTTGTGAGCTGATTCCTGGTTTAGATTTAGTAGGATTTACAGTCTCAAGTACCTCAGGATGTTAAATGCTTTGGCAGTGGGTGCACGTCTTGTGTGGAGCTGGGACCTTTGGAGAGGCTGTGTGTGTGGAGAATCTATCTGTGCTTTGTATTTGACCTGAAGATGAGAGAGTTATTCATTGCGTATTTGGAATTGGAGTGGGGGAGAGGAAGGCAAAATTATTTCTGAAAACTTAAAGCTGGAATTCTGACTCCAGAAGAGAGCGGAGACTTGTTCTCTCCACTGATTTAAAATGGGGAGGGAAAGAATTCCACCCACAGTAAAGATTCAGTTATGCACTAGAATTTGAATTGATAGCTTTTACAAATCATATAATTTGTTTTAGATTTTTTAATTGTTTTTTAAAATAAATGGAGAGGAAGAATATTTTCAATAGAATATGTTTGAGGTTAGCAATTCTTTTACGTATGAAGTCCTGTTTGGAGGTACTGTATATAAATCTGATGTGACATGACGGGTGTTCGATGTAAACTCTGAATTAAACTGGAATGGTACCAATACTAGGTTCAAAGCTCACTTTGCGCCCCAGTGCAGCACCCAGCCACCCAGACCAAAAAGTCACAGGATTGATCCCTGGATCCTTTTGATTGCTAAGTTAGCACATCTCAGCCTTTACACCAGTTACAACAGGGGCTATAGAAAGTAGGCAGTGATCATGTTCCTGATCGGCATCCAGTGGCTCATGCTGGAAACTGCCGGTGTCCGACTTTGGGTGAAGATAGGATAGAGCTAAGCTGTGGTGGGTCCTCCCTCTCTGGTGGAATAGAACAGGGACGTCAAAATATACAGTCAATTCACTTTACTGTATATTCCGTGAAGTGCTTTGAGATGTCTCAACGACATGATAAGTCGCTATATCAAATGCAAGGAATATTATTATTATATAATATCCCACTAGACTCGCAATGAAAATTGGCCACTTGGGTGAGGTAGCAGAAGTGTGGGTCTAATACTCATGGAATATTACCTCAAATTGAATCGCTGCACTTAGCAGAAAAGCGCAGAAATGGAGAGAGAAATTGACAACCTCTTTGTAGGAGCTCACTGTGGACTGGACTGTGGCAGTATAAATGGGTTAAACACATATTGAGTGTGGATGTACATAACTATTTAATAACCTATTTGTTGCATTTGCTCATCTATTACTCGAAGGCAGGGTATCCTGGAGGTTATTGTGTTGCAGTGTAAATCGACTGGTTTAAAGCGGCTTGAAGTAGTTGATATGTGGAGCAGCTAAATCATTGTAAATAATCTCTTTCCAAAGAGAACCAGGTGGATATCAAGGAACCTCTGGAATTTCCATGTGTAGAGGGGATGCATGAAATTCTCAGTTTGGTTTGGATACTCTTAAGCATGGTGATGGGTTTCCGCATATGTCAGACACCCAGCTGAGCAAAACAAAATATCTAGGGCTCAAGACAATGTCTTAAAATGTTTAAAATTGTACAGAATTTGAGAAACAATCTTAAATTTTGTTATAATTTGAAAGCTGATTTGCCACAGTACTGTTAAAAAGTGGCCTCCAAACCTCAACTGAATTTAAGACTGTTTTCCCAAATTCCCCTACATTTTAAGGTAATGATTTAAAACCTATGAATATGAGATATTTCACAGTGTTGGAATGCACTTGGGGTCACAAAGAGAAGGGTTGACCACACCTTACCCCCGTCTACGCTCACCTCCCCTGGCTTCCTATCAAGTTCAAGATACTCATTCTCACGTTCAAATCTCTCCATGTAATTGCCCCAGCCTACATTTGCAACCTTCTTTAACCACACTGACCTAGTCGCTCCCTTCGCTCAGCGAATAGTGTGCAGCTTCATGTCCCCGCCCTATCTGCCCCACTATCAGCAGGAGGGTGGGCTTTCAGCCATTCTGCCCCTGCTGTTTGGAATTCTGTCCGGAATTCCTCTGACTCACACGCTCCCACCCTTTGTTCAAGGCACGTATCAAAGTGTACCTCTTTGAGCTTTCCCCTCCCCACCCCTTGGCTTCCACCCCCAGTTTTGGTTCCCTGCTAGCATTGTTAAGTGCTTTGAAAGGTTCTAATGTGAAAGGCACTATATAAATTTAAATTGTATTGTTTGAGGTGATTGAAACCTTCATGGAGTGAGGTGGGGCTGTGTAGATTGGGACTGTGGAAATGTCATCTGTGGAAAACCCTGCTTGAGGTGTAGGTGTCGATATAGACAGATATAGAATTACATAAAATTACATAGAATATACAGCACAGAAACAGGCTCTTCTGCCCAATTGGTCTATGCCGGTGTTTATGCTCCACATGAGCCTCCTCCTGCCCTTTTTCAACTAAGCCTTCAAAGCATGACCTTCTATTCCTTTCTTCCCCTTAAATACATCTATGCTATTCGCCTCAACTACTCCTTGTGGTAGCATGTTCCACATTCCCAGCACTCTCTGGGTAAAGAAGTTTCTTCTGACTTCCCTCAGGTATGATGCACTTTGAGTATCTCAATGGATTAAGGGAACATATTTGTAGAACCTTCCCTCAAGTCAGTAAATGGTTTAGGGAGAGTGCATAATGGAATATATTATGTATTGAGTGTGGAGGGACAGGGTTTAATGTTTGACAGTCTTCTGTCATTCGCTGCTTTAAGCCATTGTGTTGGTTTTTTACATTGTTATGACTGCTATTCGGAGCTGCAAGTACCAGTTCCCAATTTGGAGGATGGTGATGCAAGTAAGAGGTTCACTGAGAGGATTCAGAGAGCATTGCAGAACAGTAATAGCATTGCATAGTACAACAACAACAACTTACATTTATATAGTGTCCCTCACGCAGGGTAGGGTCCCAGAGTGCTTAGCTAGAGGATAGAATCTACATCTAGACAATCCATGTTTGATTCGAATTTCTACTAAGACTTTTGCTCAAGGTCTCCACAAAAGCATCTAACAGTCTTGGCCATGATCACTTGGATTGAACTGTTGGCGGAGAGGTTCTCAGTACACATTATTGTTTGTAACAATAACGAACCAATCTCTTGACTATTCAAACAAGGGGCACTGCCCTTGACCTATTATTCCTGTTCATGAAGCCAAACCAGGGGAGTGGAGGATGGAGGTCTTCTATAAAATATTTGTTCCCAGACAGTTTCTGACCAGGAGCTTGAATGTATAAATCTCTAAAACAACTGAGAAAAGCCAGCCAAGTACAGATGGGTCCTTCTGTGACGTTTAGGATAATAGAAAATTCGATAAAGTGAGCTTCTCCTTAAACAGATTTTACTGACCTTCATTTGATTAAGATAATAACAATGCACGGGGTGAGCTGGGTAAGCTAGATGATATGGATGGGCGTGGTGTAGGTTTGCAGAGAAACTAAAAACGTAAACTATACTCCACCCATTCTTCCCCCTGGTAATCCTGCACCTGCTAGCAATACAGGTGCAGGGAAGAATTCAGCTATGTAAGAGCTCAAAAATGTTAGCTTTAATTATCACTTCATATGTTTTGATCAGTTTGGTGAGAAAGATGACTAACTCATCAGATGACTTAATTCTGATTCAATCATCCTGGCTGGTAGGATGCAGGGTCAAATCCTGCTCTGTGCCAATTTCACCCAGTGCTGAAGGTTAGTTGCTGCAAATGAGAACTCCTGATCACTATCCGGAGATCCCTGAGGGAATGTGTGAGAGCTGGTTTGGGCTTGGCTCCACTCAAATTCGTCTCTCCATGCAGTATCATTTAAGACCAGCAACTCAGTACAGACTACGATCGATCCAGCGAGCGCCTAGTCCAAAAGATGCAGCTCTATCCATTACACCATTGGTGGCCAACCTTTTTGGTCAGCCAACAAAATAACTTTTTTTGATTGAATATTTCTTGGTTTATGCCATAAATCAAAAAATATTCAATCAAAATAAATCTGGAATCAAAACACTGACTTAAAACACACTCACCTAGATTAGTGCAAAGTTCGGGGGGACACTTCTTGATGGCCCTGTGGTCCGAAAGTGGCCCACGGGCCATGGGTTGGCCACCACTGCACTACACCATCAGGGCTGCTGAAGGGTAAGCTCAAGTGTCTGATAGGATGCCATGTTTAATGATGAGTTAACCTACTTTACCAATCTCGAAACCTAGGGCAAGTTTCCTTACTTTACACGTCTGATAATAATCGTTCAAGAAAAAAACAATAATAAATTAGTCACTTCAATCCACGACTGTTTGTGGACACTGCTGTGCGCAATTGGCTGCCGCGTTTCCGCCCACAGAATGTACAGTCAATTTGCTTTACAGTATATTCTGTGAAGTGCTTTGAGACGTATAGTAGACATGAAAAGCGCTATATCAAATACAAGGATCATTATTATTATTAATCACTAACACTGACAGCATGCGTCTAGGGTCATGAGAAGTATGCAGTTTATGAAACTCTGCATTCCATGCTCAGTTGAGAGCTTCAGGCAGCACACATGACTATTAGGTTCCTTATTACTCAGGCACCTGAGAATGTAAACTAGTCAGTTTGCTAAGTAAAGTCTAATAATAATAGGGTCCCAGAGCACATAGTTAGAGGATGGGACCTCTAGCTATGCATGTGTACGCTGATAAGATTGGTCTTCAGACAATAGTAAAGGCAGTCGTAATTTTATTACTGTCAGATGGATATGTTGTACCACTTTCACACACCTACCATTAAGCGGGATCTTCTTGTGGCTGAACTGACTC